GCGATAGAAATAAATCTATCGCCATGAAACGCCGCCAAGCGAACTTCGCATTTCGCTTTGGCTGTGTTCAATTTCATATGCTTGCGGGTGTTCTAATTTTGACAGCGCGAATTTCGCTGTGGTGAGTTCGCCGTTCGCCGGCATTGTATTTCAGCTATAATATTCACGCACGCCGCCAATTTACTGTCAAAAATTTCTCATGCACATACAACTTGTATGGGACCTAACGAAATTGAACGGCGTGCGTATGAAGCTAACTCAATTTCCAATTTTTGTTCTGCGTGACATTTTGATTTGACGTTTCGCTCAATGAAATCAAATGCAAACGCACGCAAGCCAATTTCGGGTGACGCAAAAAACCAAATTCGACGACGTGCGAACCAAAACGCAAGCCGCGAATATTAGGTTAGCCTGTTACACTTAATACATATCGCACACGATTTTGAAGAGACCCAACTCAAATTTTGTATTTTTGAAGTTATGCGCTAAAAATGTGCATAGATGTTTTATTTACTTTGCAGCAAAAGCTGGAGCGAATTTGTGTTATAATTTCTTGAAAAAAGCGAAGGTAAAGTTTCCTTGTCCATATGATTAGCATGTGCTAAATTGTTTTTCGCATTTTCTGACAAACGTGTAATTTTGAGTTGAGTCACTTTTAAAGATCATGTGCGATATTTTTGTATGAAGAATATCTTTTGCTGCCACCCCCACGCACGCCGCACCTATTAGTGGCACAAATTTTCGACATCCCCGCTCCATTGCGCCACAAAAACAAACGCATATTTGAAGTAGTGGGAATCTCATATTACACCTTTTTTTGATGTTATTAGCTCACCTCTTTTATTAATGGATATTTCTTTTTCGTTTCCAGGGAGAGTGTCTTAAAGTCTGCACGTAGGGCCTCCACAAATTTATGCACCGACTCATTACCACCCGTCGAGGTGCGTACGAAAGACATTTTCACGTCTTAATTTTCAAGCTTAAACAATGCACAAAACAAATATTACTTTTTTACGCAGCTTCTAATACTCTGCATCACAATTTAATTGCTGTTTTTATTGTTTTTTTTTTTTTGGATTTGGTTAAATTGGTAGGAACTGTCAGTTCGCAGACACCAGGTTCATTGTGTACAAATACAAGTGAGATATCTTAGCAATAGACGTCATCCTGGGCCACAGCTGCGATCATCTGTTTTCTAGAGTTGCTTATTTTGGTCTAAAGTGCGGTTTTTTGACCTGAGTTGCATTAAATAGTCTCTTAAAACTTGGTAGTATTTGCTGTTCAAATGGTAACATATATGCCCGAAAACTTGAAAAATATTAGATGATTGCTTTTTAAAAATGCTATTTATAAAATTTGGTTTTGATTGCGACATTAGAAATATACAGATTATAAAAGTTTTTCACATATGTTTTAAGATTTTAAAGCTTTTAAAATGTACGGTAGAATGCAACAATGTGCTTGAATTTGTTTGCTTCTTCGTCAGCTTATTCGTTTGCCGACTAGAAAAATGGTGAACAGCCATCAAAATACTGATTCAAAATACACACAAATGGGTGCGCGCAGCAAAATTCAGCCCTAATGGTAAGTTCATTTCATCGTGCGGCGACAAGTTAAAGGCTCCGTTATGCATACTTGGCATGGCTTGAGAGCTGTCACATAAGAAATCTGTTAAATGAGCCTCGCGTGTAATCGGTTATCGAACGCACAGCACTACATACGTAGAAGTCTGTTGGTTTTTGATTTCTACGTAAAAATGGTATAGCAGTGCATGCAATGCCAAGTATGCATAACAGAGCCTTAAGAATTTGCGATACATTTTCAGGCGAATGTATGCGAACGTTCACCGGGGGAAGAGGTATGGGACGACAGCTGGCATGGCATCCAGACGGCAATCTGGTGGCTTTAGCATTAAGTTGTAACCGCGTTAAGATATTTGACAAAGCTGAAGGCGAGCTAATACAGTGCATTCGTCGCCGGAGAATGATGTTGCATTTCACCCAAGTGGAAATTTCTTGGTGACTGGCGGCGATGACGATACAATAAGATTGCTTGATTTGGGAAAATTTTCCAAAACGGATCCAGGCTTTGAAAAAAAAAAAATATTAGGGAGTATAGAGGAGCTTTTTCAGATTCTAAATCTGAAGACCCCACCCTCCGGAGGCTTATAGTTTTAAAGTAATTCGCATTTAAAGTTGCAAAAAATACCGAATTTAACCTCACCTTTTGCTTTGTACACCAATTGAAGTGAAATGTCAGTGCTGCCATACATATGAAAAAATGCCTCAAAAACACAAAACGGAAGCATTAAAAAAATGCAGATAATGATCGCGCGATATTCAATAAAAAAATTTAATTATTTATTGGTCGATTTTTGATTAAAAAGTTGCATAATTTATCGAAGTATCGATTTTACAATAAAAAGCGATGTTTTATTAAAAATGTTCATTATTTATGGAAGTATCGATTTTTAGAATATAAAGCGCCGCAGGCGAAAA